TATTCTTCCAGGGCGGACCACTTAATCAAAAGCACGGATTGAGCTGACACAGCAATGCCCCTCTTCAGTCATCGTCGCCTGTGTCCTTTAGACAGCGATCTGCTGAGGGAGTCCCTGGCCTGAGCGCTGTGAGGACAGGGGACTCGTACGAAAAGTGGTAAATCCAACCCACCAAACCACCGACTCCGACCGAGACGTGGGAACAAATCGTACACCTGAGCAGACCAAGAGGCAACAACGTTTCGACCCATCCCCCCTGCTGATCGTACCTATCAGAGCCTCGTATTGTCGCTCGCACGCGTGCGCTGTAAACTTGAAAGGCTTCCCTCAGCTCAGGCTCAAACCTTCCGGAAGTTGGCATCGTCTTCGCCAGCTCTGTACATGGCCCGCGCCTGCCAGAATGCGTGCAGCCCATGCAAATGAATGTGTTAAGGCCACACGTCGTCTGCCTTTCGATTCTGGCGACGCAAAAGCAACCTCGCTTGCTTGTCGGCGTTGTCGGAAGTAGGGTCCTGGTGGCATTCTGACATTTTAGCGGAGCCTTCCATCCTGAATGTATGCCGTGTAGGCCTATCTGAGTCCTTGCTGCTGCATGTCGGGGATATTGTCGGGGTCTCACATGTCTCCGCGCTCTTCCCGCACTTCGCAACGAGGGCCTCAGTGGCCACTTGACGAAATGGCAGCGCCAAACACTTGCGAATTATCTTATCCGGGGCCCACACGCACACTGCCAGAGCCATGACGGCTAACATGACGGCTGCGGCTACGACCATGCTTCTTGACAACAGAAGCTTGAACAAGGCTTATGGCAGCTGGCAGCGGAACTTTTGACTGGTTGGTATGTTGGTGGTTCTACTGCCCAAAGAAGGGCACAGGTTGTACCAACTCATGTCCTTAATAAAAAACAATTCCATTTGATACTCGTATGCCGAATGTGGCGCTACAAAACTGTTCTGTCCTGCAGGTTGTCTTTTTGCCTCCACGTTCTTCTTGAAAAACTCACTAACATCGTCAATAGTTATATGTTTATCTTTCTCCCGTGCTGTCCGCATTCCCGGTCAAGCCCTTTGCAATGTGAGCACAGCATGACACTGCGCAGTGAGGGGCGATGCTTCCCTAAACCCTGAGCCCCGAACCCGAGGGAGTCGCCCCCCAAAAGGAGCCCACAACCAAGGCCTCCCCTCAACCACCGAGACAACGAGAGGAAGAGATCGGGAGGACGGGGGACGGTGATCTGCTGAAACTTATTAATGTACAACACAAACTGGTCCACTCGTCTGTCACGAGTACAGCTGGACACAGCTTGCAAAATCTGGCACACAGAATGGTATACCACTGATGTGTATAGCGGAGCGTGGTCTAGACAGTCGCTGTTTTGGGTTCTAGGTTTAGGGTGTATCGTGTAAGTGTAGGGATAGTAAGGATTGGGGTTCCGTTTTAGGCTGTCGGGGGATAGACCATCCGTACAAGACCTGTATGAGGACCCAACCACGTCAGAGGAGAGCCTTCGCCGAGTGCTTCGGCAGGATATGGCTTCGAAAGGCCGTTGCGAGTGCGTCGGAGTGGTCAGCATGGCTGAAATTGCCTGCACCGTCGCAAAGGCAATGACGGTTAAAGTTATGGGTTAGGGGTGTGTTAGGGGGTTTATTAAGGGTTGGGACAGGGCTTTCGGCAGGCGAGGTAAGTTTAAGGCACATCACTCCCACAATTTGTTGCGCGAGCTTGGCTGGATAGCATGCGGAAAGTGCGCTAACCTTCGTCTTCTTCCGACGGAAGGAAGGGTCCAGCGACTTGGGCGCTGCGGACAATACCATGCTCACGCGGATGCGCTGGGCCGGGCCGAGGCAGGTCGCGTAGCGTTAAAATTAATGAAAATTAATTTAAATTAATCAAGATTAATGAAAACTAACTAAAATTAAACAAAATTAATGAAAATTAAACAAAATGAATGAAAATGATTAAAGTTAATTCAAAAAGTAATTTAAATTAATTAAGATTAATTACAACTAATTAATTAAAATCTTTAAAAAGTTCATGAAAATTCATTAAACTTCATTCAAATTCATTAATATTCATTAATATTCAAAAGTCATTAAAACTCATTAAAATGTATTAAAATTCCCTTCAATTCATTGAAATTCATTGAAATTAATTGAAAGTCATTGAAAGTCATTGAAAGTCATTGAATGTCATTGAAAGTCATTGAAATTCATCGAAATTCATTGAAATTCAGTGAAGTTTTTTAGAAGTCACTAAACTTCATGAAAATTCATTAAGATCCAAGAAAATTACACAAAACTAGCAAAGTAATTACAACTAAAACTCAATATGAAATTAATTGAAATGAATTAAAATTAAATACAATTTATTGAAATTAACTAAAATTAATCAAAATCAAGCAAAATTAACTAAGATTTGTTCAACAAAAATGCACTTAATGAAAAAAACTTACAAAGTATTAAAATTAAATAAAATTATTATAACTGAATAATAATGAATGAACATGAAATAAAATTAATGAACATGAATGAAACTTTATGAAAATCAAGTAGGATAAATTAAAATTAATTAAAAATTACTCAAATCAACCAAAAATTAGCCAAAATTAACAAAAACTCATGAAAATTAAATTAATAATTTAGAAAATTAAGTTATTAAATACTAATTAAACCAAATTGAAATGAATGAAAACTTATTAATATTATTTAGAACAACTCATTGATGTTAATTAAACTTAATATCTACTTAATTTATTTGTCATAACTGAAACTGACTTTAAGTAGCTTAAGATTGATTAAAATTGATTAATACTAAGCTTAAAAAAACAAATAGCAATTTAACAGAAAATAAATTACATTCATTAAACCTAATTCATGAAAATTGATACCATCACTTAAAGTTTCTAAAACTGCATAAACAAAATTTCATTGAACTCAATCAAAATTGATGAAAATTAATTAGCACGAATTAAAACTGATTTAAAATACTTCGGATTCGAAAATTAAGCAAAACAAATGAACATTCATTAGGATTCATTAAATTTAGTCTCCGAATGAAAATTAATTGACATTCATGAAGTAGTTCTACTCATTTTTAATCGGTTTTAATTAGTTAAATGAATTTCAGTTAGTGTTCATGAATTGTTAGAATTTTGCCGTATTTTGGTTGATGTTAATGAGTTTATGTGTTTGTATGATTAATCCGCCGAGGCCTCGGGCCGGAGGTGTATAGGTTGTGAGAACAGGCACCCCCCTCCAAATCCTCCCCCCACACCCAAAACCATTTTCCGGACCTACCCCCCCCTAGGAAACCGGGGTCTGCAAGCGGACGACGGTTCGCCAGGACCAGAGGCAGTTCCCCACCCCACCCCCCCCCCCCCCCACCCACACCACACCCCCCCCCTGCCCCCCGCACCCCCCTACCCCCGAGATTGCTGAGGGGGTTTTCGAGGCTCAACTATTTTGAGCACCGCCGGGGATGCATTACACGAGCCGAAGAGTCTAAGCTTGAACCTAAACCCTAAACCCTAAACCCTAAACCTTAAACCTTTTAACCTTAAGCCCGAAGCACTCAACCCCCTTCCCCCCCCCCCCCCCCCCCCCCCCCCCCCCCCTACGATCAATCCAAGCCGAACTGTCTCTTGAACCCTAAACCCAAAAAACCCTAAACCCCAAAGCCTGAACCTTGAGCCCTAAGCCCTCAATCCTAAACTAACTTATTGCTTGGGGTCCAGCGACTTGGGCGCTGCGGAATCACCATGCTCACGCGGATGCGCTGGGCCGGGCCGAGGCGGGTCGCGTAGCGTTAAAGTTAACATATATGAAAACTAACTGAATGTACGTAAAAGAATTAAGAAGTATTTGAAATTATTTAACAACAAGTAACATCAATTAGCATTACTCGAATTGCTTAAAATCACGTAAAAGTAGTTGAAACTCTATGAAATTATCGAAAAATAATGACAATTAATCTTCGAGTCTCTAAAAGATATAAAACCGATTGAAGTTTTTATTGAAATTAATAAAGTAACTGAAATTATGCAAAATAAATCAATTTCAAATCAATAATTCTATTCATCTTAACTGATTTTAATAAATTCATTAATAAACGTTCATTAATAATCAACATTAATTATAATTACATTAGCAAAAAGAAAAAGGTTATCTCAAATAAAAACAAATTAGATAAATATAATTATGCAGTTAAATTAAATTCATTAAATGAAATACAAGGCTCAAAACTGCTGACAATTAAGCAAATTCAAATGGCATTTATTAGAATTAGTTAAAACAAATTTAAAACAACTAAGTTCGTGAAACTTGATGAAGAAGCCATGAAAATTAGTTCACAAACGTTGACATGAGTTAATTAGACTTAATACTGAATCAAAATGAATTGAAATTGAATTCAAGTTACATACAATTACTGAAAAAATTAAAATATTAAATTTACTTTTACTTGACTTAATGTAAAAAACTGAAAGCTTTCTAAATCAACAAAAGAAGCTTAATCAAGATGATTTAACAATTCATTCACAGTATGTAAACTGTTAAAAAGCCATTACACTTATGTTAAACCGGTACTTGAAATTAATCGAAATTAATCAAATTTACCAATGCGAATTAAAAGAAATTAAAATAGACTGTCAATGTAGCACTCTGAGCGATGCAGCTGTTTTGATGGTTGCTCTCTCTAAAGGTCCCCAAAAACACAAGCCAGAAATCCGCGGTAAGGAACTGCGATCGTACTTAGCGGTTGTCTTCCGCAAGGTTGGGCCATCTATGCTGTTTGGCAAGCCAACACAAAACAAGGTCTATTGCCGAAGTTCCTACCAGACATGCTCGAATGCACCTGTGTCCCATGAGAGCGGAAAGTTCCGTGCCAAACAGAATGCCGCTGTCAGCAGGTGCAAAATCATAGACCTGTCTAACCTAGCGCGACCCTAGACTCCTGGCACTGGTTGCTCGAGTTAAATGGAAGAAATATTGCGTGCAAGAAGCGCGCAATTTCATTGCAGCTTCGGCGCCAGATGTCCTTCGGCACAAAGCGGGCACACGCATTTGGAAAGCAGGCTCGTGTCTGAACTACGGCTGTGTTGCCTGCGCCGAGGCCTCGGCAACCTCCAGCTCACCTCGAAGCCTCAGACATTCATCGCGCACGAAGCGACGTTGACGAAAAACTTTTTGTCCAACACACTCTTGGCACGCTCTTCTTCGCCCTCCATGCCTTGAGCACTGTTGCTGCGCTTTGGCCTCTGCAGCCGCTACCTGACACCCACCCCCAGGTTTGGCTGTCACAGCAAAAATGGCTTTATGCAATTGGTGCCTCGGCAACCGCACAATTAACAATCCAAGCATCGGATGAAGTCATCTCAGACATCGCAGATTTCACGCAGCGTTGCGAGAAAACTTCCGCAGATTCCAAGGCCTCTTCATGACCTGCAGCATCTGCGCTGGGTGACAACACCCTGAATACTCGTCCTCCTCTCCTGACGATCCTACTACGGGTACCCATAAACGGATTTGAGGAAACCAAAAAAACTCAAACAGTAGACTGAATCGACTTAATAAAGCAATGTCTGCCTTGCCGAATGCGGCGCTCGAAGGAGGAGCGCAGCTCCATGCCCAGCTCTTGGGAGGCTCTGACCATGACTTCTTGCATCTCCTTTCGCAGATCTGCTACCTTAGCTCAACACCTGTCGCCCTTGCAAACTTGGCTCTGCCAATTCATCTGAAGCACTTGGCTCTGCAGCCCTAGCTGAAGCTCGTCACCCTTCTTGTCCAGGATTGCGAGTTTTCGCTGAATGTCTGCGCTTACCTTGCCCAGGCTGTCAGACTCCTGCGCCACTCGCTTCTGCAGCCGCTCTAAGCCCCGCCAGGTATCTTCAGAGAGCGACTTCATCTCAAGCTGCCTCGCCTTTTCATCTTCAGAATCTCTAACAACTCCCTCACAGAAGCTGAGGCGGCGTTCGAGCTCTGCGTTGTGGGCCGCTACAGCTCCTTTGGGTCGGTGCCCTTTGCAGGCCGCAAAGACATCCTCAAACTTGCGCTGCACTTCAGATTTGTGCACAAGAAACTCGTGCCAGTGTGAGAGGACACGAGCTTCAAGTAGGTCCAGGCGGCGGCCCAAGTTTGCAGAACAGATGCCGCAGCGACATCGACTACCGCTCTTCTGCAAGGCCAACGGCGGTGCTTGGTCGCACTGGCTTCTCACAGCAACGAGCTCGCCCATGTCTTGAACATTCCAAATGGGGGCTGTAATGGTTGCACCTTACGTAATCTTACACTCAAGATACACTCAAGATACACTCAAGATACACTCAAGATCTCAAGATCGAAACTGCCAACGAGCGAATTTTGATTATGACCTGGGGCCTCAACTCTGTAGGCCTTCTGTGAGCCACACTGGGGTCACTGGAGCCAAAGGCAGCACCCTGCTGCACTTGAAGAACCCATGTGAACGCACACTTCTCTCTCACCAAACAACGTCCACCTTCTCGACAACGAGAGACATGACATGCCAGCCGCCCCCCCCAAATGCCAAACCTAATTTTGCACCCGTTTTAGTATCGCTCCCCCCCTATTAAGGTAAGTTCCGGAAAAAATAGGGATACCCCTATGTAGGTGATCCGAAGTAAGGGCCCTTAATTTGGGTCCCCTGTTATTTCCCCCTTATATACACTTTACATAGTAAGGGCCCATACTTCGGATCCCTTTAAATCGTTTAACAAGGGGCAAGGGACCATACTAAGGGCCCATGGTTCAAACCTTAGAAAATTGACAGTTCTAAATAAGAAGGCCTTGAAAGCTTAGACCCTCAAGCTTCAAGGCTTGGCACGATTCCAACTTCAAACTCCGGAATTTTGGAGTCCGGCATTATATAAGTTCCTTTCAAATGTTCATTACCAAACAAGCCCCCAGACAAATTTTCAAGGGAGTAAGTTGCGCTTTAGTATATTTGCTTCGGTTGCCCGCATTAATCCGCAGCCCACCCCCTGGCCATTCGACCCTCAAGCTTCAAGGCTTCCCCTCAACCCTCGACGCCCGGCCCGAGACCCCTCCGTTCAAGTTTATAGAGGGTGAGCAATGTTTGAACGGGGGGCGGGGGTTGGGGGCCTGAAGCGAGGGCAACATTACGGCTCTCATCATCCCCATTCCAGTCACCCCTCACGGGGTAATGCTGCGTGCCCTGTGTGGCTCTGGGGCCATCCCCTTGGCCATCCCCCTGCCTGCCGGCAGACCGTACATCTGCATGGCCTCTCAGCCGGGTCCTCTCTCAAGCGCAAAACTACACCGACATTTCTTCGTGATATTTCTAGAAGCAGAAGGATGAAAGACGGTGTGCAAAACAAAGGCGCGCAAGAACGCGACACAAGTGCGTGTGAAGAAACGTTGCCAGAATTGGGGGTGGCCTCGGGTTCCTGCTCTTCAGGCAAGGGCGGCGCTGGACGCCTGCCCAGATCCAACTCTGCCATGGTTGGCAAGGCTTGGATAGATAAGA